GTTTTGCTTTTAATAGAAATAAAGGTTCAGAATGGACAGAAAGTTTCTTTCAGTCACATCTTCTAAGAGAATAAAGATGGTGAAAAGCAAAGTCCAGACAATTCTGCCAGTGAATGTCCCAGATCTCAAGCCCTCATATGTGACAGTGAGGAAATCTTACAGTTGTTAGTTGCTTCGCTCTTCTCCACTGCTCGTATCTTGGGTGAGCAAGCCGAAGTCGTCTTTGATGCCCGCTTCGATGCCTTCTTCTTATTGATCTCACAACGAGGAATTGGAGCAGAAAAACAAGGTTTTTTTTGACAGGAAGGTGTTAGGAACTCAATGGCCCCAGATTTGACCTTGGCTTCGAATCCTTCCTTTGAGCCATACTCATCTGTGCCTGCAAGTTTATAAAAAGGGAGCACATGGAGCTGCTCATCCTGGGGAACAACTCCCATGGAGCGGTTATCTTCTCGTGTTAAAGTACATACCTGACAGGAAGAAAACAGGAAATGGGAAATACAGGCTCTTTTACTATTGTTTATTTCTAACACCCTTCGTTGTGAAAAGGGAATATTTTAATTTTCAATTAATTTAGAGAAATAAACGCTATGTCAAGCCACTGAAATATAACTGAATTTTAATATAGTATCAGTTGTTTATAAGGAAATATTGTACTTTTAACATAATTACATTATTTTTCCCTTATACATATGAAATCTTCTTTTAGTACACAATTATTACGACATTGCCTAAATTATGAAAAATTATTATGGAGCTGTATACTCATTAACAAACGCCCTAACCCTAACTATTGAAAACATATGTCCTGGGGGGAGGGGGGACAGGGAGAAAAGTGCAACAATGAATAAATAGAAATCCAAAGTCTCCGTAAACTTTCAATAAAATTAATTTAAAAAACAAAAACAAACAAAACAAAAAAGGAAACAAATGTCCCTAGCTGCACTTTGTACTCTAAAATTTAGTTCCAAAGGAAGGTCGACTATGAATGAATGACTTTTCCAATGTGCTAAGGAGCAATGGTCATTTCAGTCACTTGTTTGCTATCGAAGAATTGGACAAGGAATAAGATGAAAGAAGTAGAACTGAAGTTGATGAATTTTGATGTGACAGAAGAGTACTAAATAGACTGTGAAAAGAACGAACAAATATATCTTGGAACCAGGGTGTTCCTTTGAGGAAAGAATGATGAAATTTCACCTCACATACTTTGAGCATGTTGTTAGGAAGGTTCTTTTCTTAGAAAAGTGAGCCATGCTTGGAAAGGTAGTTAAGTCAGTGAAAGAGATAAAGATCCTCAACCAAATAGGTCAACAAAGTGACTATAGCAATGGGTTGAAGTATATATTAAGGGATGTTAAGAAAAGGCATAGGATGAGACAAGGTTCAGATCTTTTATTCATAAGGTCACTAGGAGTCAGACTCAATGGCACCTAACAACAACAACTAGTAGCAATACCATGATGCCAATCCTTGTTCTGTTTCAGATAAATGCTTCTTGGTCTCTTGGGTTTTGTCTGAGCATAACTTGTATTTTGAGGTTATTATCATTCTTCTAAATGTTAGCAAAAATTTGTTATGCCCCCTACACACAGTCAAATGTCTTTGCATATTCAATAAAACCCAAGACTGATAAAATAGTGACATTTTTGACTTACACTTTCTTCAGCTTGTAACCAGGAGAAAAAACCCCAAATCATGCTAAAATGGTATATAGGTGAAAGAGAGGACTATCCTTAACTAGATGGATTTACCCGGTTACTATTAAAAGGGGCAGCTACGAGTCAGTTCTGACACAATGGCAGTGAATTATGATTCAGTTGAACTGTATTTGTTGGTAGATAGCATTGGTTTGAATCTATTAAGCCTTGGCAACCCAAAGGAGTGTTACTTTGAGTTAGAATACACCCAGTGGCAAAGTCTGTTAAAATGATTTCTTTATTGTGAGCTGATTAAAAAGTCAGCTAATTTACAAAGTAAATTGCTTTTTAATATGACAATTCATACTCATTTTGATCTCTAACATTAATTATATATCATAATTTAATTCAAAGTTGTCCTCCTATCGTATTCCTCTTAGCCTTCTGGGTTTTATTCTTGGGCAAAACTTGCTCTTTTGGCCTTACATGGTTTGTTATTCGAAGGGGTTATTTGCCATGAGGGTGAGTTTTATTCCTGGTTGGAAGGATGAATAAGGGCTACTGTCTCACGGGGGTATGATGGAAATATCAATATGTTGTCTGAACTGACCCATAACTGACACTCCGGTGGGTTTTCAGAGGGAGTAAATCACATGGCAGAAGGTTTCCCATCCTTCTCCCATAGAGCAGCTGGTCGATTCAAACCATGTACCTCTGGGATTGCAGAACAGCGCACTATTATGCCATCGGAGCTGCTTTCTATAAGAAATTTTATTTTTCCCTATGGAGAACATTTATTCTTAAGGAGAATAAAAATTCAGACTAGAAGAACTTAACTATCAAGACCGAGTAAACAAACGGAATGGAAGCAGAGTTAGTGGTAAAAATTCAAGATGCAGGAATTTAGAGATGGAAGAAATCACGAATGATCACAAGCACCAAGGGTAAAGCTTATGTTCCATAAGCATCTTTAGTATCAGGATCAAAGAACACAAAGAGGCTCAAAAGGGCATACAACTACAGTATAGCTCTGAGCTACATATGGGTGGTTCATCATCATCATTCTGCCAATAATTATATCCTAGATTATGAATATCTGTAAATCGGCTAGAAACCTGATCCAGATGTGGGTCATATTCAGAATTCAGGATAATTATATTGGCAGAATGATGATGATGAACCAGGCACTACGTATGAGGACAGATCTGCATATCATTACCACATAGAAATAACAATAATTAGATGGAATTCCCTCAGCTTTTATGAAAAGGACTCATCTCCACTCATTAGAATTTCACTCGACTCCTTAATAATGGACAAAATTCTACTGCTAAAACAAGGAAGGATTCTGGCTATGGATTGATCTGATTATAACCTTATAATCAATAAAGCATGTCATAACAAGGGTTTCAAATTTGGGAGGAAGCCATATGAATTAGCAAATACAGAGGCAATTTCTAATTTTTGCTTTACAAGGTAAAAGGGGAAAAATAATTACTTGGAGGAAAGTTATTTCATCGACAAAAGAATTATTCCATGATTTTTAATTAGGATATCTGTCTAAACTATACTTTGACTGACAACTATAGGACTGTCAGTATGTTTATAACTGTAAATGTAGTAGGAATACCAGAAGAAAAGTATAGTTGGTAAAATTAGCGTATTAACGGTACTATATAAAGTACTACCTAAGGCATTAATAAATAATATCCATTCAACTTGAAGAATTTGCCACAATTTCCTTTCAAATTCATTGACATACATCATGGCAAAAAAGAAAGCATTAAGTAGCTTTTTACATACCAATAATCATGTACTCATTATCAACTACCAAATGTACCAGAAGTAAATATATGAATCAAGTAGTTAAAAAAGAGAAAAGGTAGTTCCTGGGCTTAGTAAATCACAGCCAAGGACCAAGGTGATGGAGCATTTAGAATTGGAGGTCTCACAGGTACGTACCACAGTGCTTCCGTTACTCATGTTTTGACTGTCCTTATGGGGATGCGCACAGAAGTCCAGGCAACAAGTGACCCCAGAGAAAGGACGACCCTCTTTGTTGCCAAGTCGACACTCAGGGGCAAGATGTTCATTTTGCACCTGAAAAACAAAGTATGAGACACAGCATTAAGTAAAAAGGGAAAAATCACAGATAAAACCTTTTCTGATCATGTTCCCAGATCACTTACTTCTTGGGAATTCTGAGATGAAACTGGATTATAGTACCGAATGGATGGTGGCCTAGTAACATTCAGACTTTGAGAATGTGGAGAATTTAAAATGGGAATCAAGGAATTTATGAGCAAGAGCTCAACCACTGTCCCACCAGGGTGTCATATAAATCATTTCAGAGACTTTTATTCTCCCACGTCTGAGTATAAAAGAGTGCTAGTGGTTTGCTTGGTACTCAGCAATACATGTGCTCACTATGATCAGGATTTGTCATCTTAACAGTAGAAAGTCTTTCATTCTTTAGACACAGAGTGCTGCTTTCTAGGTTTCGATGTGCAATTCCACTTATTTTGTTTACATTGAACAGAGGTGGCTGGGGAACCCATCCTTCTCTTGTTCTTAATTTTGGATGCAAAGCTTTCTGTCTTTCAATCATACAGCATTAAGTAAGCTTACATAATTTAGTAAGTGATGGCATTTTAATTCTTGGTTTGTTGGTTGTTTCTAATAAAAACAGACTTACATAATTACATATGTAAGCACATTATTTGGGTGATTTTAATCTGCAGTCCTCAGGCCTGGTTTTAACTGTTTTTGGTCAAACATTCTTCTAAGTGGTATAGCACTGGTCTGTCCATTTGCTGTACAGAGGTAACTCGTGGTTGCTGTGATGCTAAACACTGTGACACTGATGTGTCAAATGTGATAATGGTTACCCATGGAGGACAGTGTTTGGTGGAGGTCCCTGATTAAAACAAGCTTAGCAGCAGCAGTGGCATCCACTTCTGAAATAGCTTGCCTCCAGAAACCCTATGAACCTGGAGAAACGATGAAAATTATACAAGTGTTCAGGTCTTTTCATTCATAGGGTTGCTATGAGTGGTCTATGACTTGACGGCACTTAACAACAACAACAAACACATTAATTAACAGTAATTAGCAATGCTCAAAGAAATTATGTAAGACTATAAACGTACCTGATTTTGGTAAGCATCTGGGGCAAACTGCTTATAAATTGGACCTAATAGTGTAGCCAAATACTGCAAATGCTCTTCAATTTTTTTTTCCTATTAAAAAAAAAAAAGAAAAGAAAATTTACCATTTTTTCAAAACTATTGTCGGTCCTTGCATGGTTAAATTTAACATTTAAAAATAGAAACATGATTAGAATGCTGTATGCTGTTGAGTTGGAATTGACTCATAGCTGAGCTTTCAGGGAGATTTTAGAGGCAGTAAATCAAATGGAGGGGAGATTGCCTATCCTTCTCCTCCGGAGCAGCTTGTGGATTTGAACCACATGTTTTTGAGATCACAATGCAGCTTCTTATCCTAGGCTATCAGAGCTCCTTTTAAAATAGAAATACATTTTGACGTTACACTTCTGCTTATTTTTAAAGAGAAAAAGCATAGTATTGGACATTACACATGAATTACACATGGTTCACATAGGAGCCATGCGCTCTGTGGCCTAGTAGGTAAGGTGTTGTATTCAACCCAAAGACATGCAGTTCATTCAGCTTTCCTGTGGGCGAAAGATGGACATGCACCTGTGTGCCTAATAGCCTCTGAAAAATGCCATGAGGGTGATGAGTCAGTCATTAAATATGTAGTAGTACCCAGCTACAGAAAACACACATAAGTATCTTTCTATAATTTTCTTTCAGTAAAAATCTATCTGAAATCAGTAGTACCTCTAATTTTAAGGTTTCTTCTAAGACTCTTTTGACTTTCTGGCAATATCCTATCATGTACCTTTATGAGTCATTTCAGCATTTTTTTTCAGCCAAATTTTACTTGCATGTAGTATTAATTGATATGGTTTAGATTATTTCCACATACAGAAGGATCACTGTATGGTGTATAGGAACACTACAGATCTCTTCCTATCAGTTGGCCAAGCAGCTGTTCCAAATTTCATGGCATAGACCAGTGAGCAAATCCAGGATATATTTGTTTGTTTGTTGAAATATGTCAATTACTATTCCATCAGCAATTCCTGGGGCCTTATTTTTTGCCACTGCCTTCAGTACAATGTGAACTCTGCTCAGATCTAGTGAATCAGAGTCCACTGGGTAAGATCCGATGGTGTATAGTTACCATTTATGTTTTGTTAAAAAGGTATTTTCAGTAAAGAAATCATTGATTACACAAAATTACTTGCAATCAAGTTGGACAGTGAATAAGAAAGACTGAAAAAAGATTTGATGCCTTAGGGTTGTGATTTGAATACGCTCATGGACTATAAAAGAAACAAGTAAGTCAAGAAGAAAGTGCAACAAGGTACTCCTTAGAGGCAAAGATGGTGAAACGTCAGGAGGGGTGAGTCCTCGGAAAAGGACACCATGCTGGGAAGGCTGGAGAGTCAGAGAAAGAGAGGAAGATCTCCAACAAGATGAACTGGACACTGTGACTATAGCAATGAGTTTGACCATATCAGAGATCCTGAGTACGGTGGAACTTAGTGTAAACTGTTGTTCACAGGATCACTTAGAGTTATACCTGACAACATGCACATTTAAAGTCACTCTTTCTGTTTTAAAGAGATTTCTAAGAACAAATTTTACATAATGTGTAGAAGAGAATGGAGAACTAGCTAAGTAAAGCACATGCCAGGTATCAGATCGTGGGCTGAGGTTCAAATTTGCTGCTTTCCTCAAATGAAATGAGCCACTTTTACAGAAAGGCCACAAACAAACTTTGGTAAGGTTGTGAGATGCATATCTAGAAACTGGATATATTTTGAGAGTGACAATGTCTCTATTAACAATGTTACTTATGACAAAATATGAAGCAGAGAGGAGGAGATGGGGAAAACTCAGTTGAAAGATCATTTTAATAGTTTTCTACAGAGATATTTTGAATCATATTGCAATTAGTAAATTTAAAATTATTTTAAAGAAAAGATAAAAGGAGGAACGTAGTGGACAGTGATTCCATCAACACAGACAGCTTTCCATGTGGATAAAATCACCTCTAGAATACAAAAAAGAATTCTAAAACCCCAAGCTATACAACAATGTTTAATAAGAAGGCAATGGGGACAGAGAAAGTCTTTTAGATAATGCAAAGTATCATTTATAACATCTTTTTGTTTTTCTACTGATTCATGTTCTTGTATGTAATAAATGCTTAATTTATAAATTAGTGTTTTCCATTCAATTGTCGTCATAAAGATGATGTTGTTGTTCGTATGTAGCCATTGAGTCAGAAGCTATAAATTTCATGGGAGAAGACTGCTCATCTTTTCCCCTCAGATCAACTGATGGCCTTTGGTTTGGCATGCCAAACAATGCAGATATTTGTATTCATTGTAGTATATTAATATAAATACAAGAATTACTGTAAGTTTAACGCTGGTAGACTGAGTATGTTTCATTATTAGTAGAATGATGCAGAAAATATACAATACTTCATTTGATTCATTGTTTGGTAATGTCAGACTAATTAGTCTAAAAAAAGAATACTGTCATTTTCAATCACTCATAGACAAGTTTGTTTTATAATATTACAATTGATTAATGTTATTAATTGCTGCATCTAATCAAACCCTTATTGTATAATCCTATTCCCTCCACCCAATTTAGGCAACTCTACTAGGGGGTTGTTACTTTGTTTTAAAAAATACAGGTGGTCGCTATGAAGATGGCGCCAAAAGCAAAGAAGGAAGCCTCTGCCCCTCCCCAAACTGAAGCCAAAGCAAAGGCATTAAAGGCCAAGAAGGCAGTCCTGAAGGGCATCCACAGCCAAAAAAAGAGAAGATCTGCACGTCACCCACCTTCCGGTGCCCTAAGACCCTGAGACTCCGAAGGCAGCCCAAATAACCCCAGAAGAGCGTCCCCAGGAGAAACAAGCTTGACCACTATGGCATTATGAAATTTCCCCTGACCACTGAGTCAGCCATGAAGAAGATAGACGATAACAACAGACTTGTGTTCATTGTGGATGTCAAGGCCAACAAGCACCAAATCAAACAAGCTGTAAAGAAGCTCTATGGCATTGATGTGGCCAAGGTCAACACTTTGATTAGACCTAATGGAGAGAAGAAGGCCTATGTTCGACTTGCTCCTGACTATGATGCTTTGGATGTTGCCAACAAAACTGGGATCATCTAAACTGAGTCCAGCTGGCTAATTCTAAATATAAATTTTTTTTACAAAAAACAAACAAACAAGCAAGCAAACAAACAAACAAACAAAACCCCAACATGTAGTCAACTTATTTAAACAGTATGGAAGCTTACCACTTTCATGTGACTCGCACTAATTCGTCCAGAATTCTTAAATCTTTTTCTTGATGCACCACGTGGACCAATTCTTTCATAGACGTTCTGTGGGTAGTAAACTTTGAAATGAAAAGTCTTTGAAATGTTGGAAAATGGCTGTAGTTATCCTTATTGTGTGTATATAAAATTCTAAATTCTTTCAATAGTTATTGCCTTTTGGGCAAGGGAGTTAGAAGACAGGAGAAGGCATATTTACAATTTGAGTTGGTAGTTTAAAAATGTGTTTAGAAATATTTAATATTTCCCCCATTTACTATAGCAATACTATTTAAGTATTTGATTTTCAATGTTGTTAATGAAAAAAAAATATATATATACATACATATACTCATTCTGCAATTAAAAAAGATAAATGGAAACTTACTTACATGTAAAGGATAACTGGGGTCAACTCGAAATTTTCTGGGATTGGCACTTTTAGAGAATTTGCAACCATTATAAAACATACTCCATGAACAGCCAAAAGAGAATGAAACTCCACAAGTCTCTGGATCAGTTCCCTGACATGTACAAGTCCTCCTGTAAGATAGTCATTTAAATGGAGTTAACCAATAAAGGAAGATACGACTTCTGATAATCTATTTGCATTGCATGCAATATTAAAAATACATACAGTCAAATAATCTAGTCTCAAATACTTTCTTGCTTTACTATGATTTAGTGTAAAGGAACTTACATAGATCAAGCTCTTTGAACTTAAATATTACAAAAATCTTTCTCTAATCAGATCTGACTGGCATAGGAGGGGATTGATTGCCCCTCCTTCTCCAATGGAGTATCTGGTGGATTCTTCGGATCACACATCTTCAGGATTGCAGCATAGCTTCTTGCCACTAGGCCACCAGACCCCTTTAAATGCTTTCTTTCTTTTGTTTTTAAATTTAACAAGGATGAGAAGGGAAAGAAATTTACTTGGATCTGGTCCTAGTAAGAGCAACTTCTTCATTCTCTAAAATAAGATTGATGTTTTATGTGAAATCATTGTCTGTTCTAAAGCAAGCATCTATGAATGTTGCAAGAGAAAAAGGGGATGGAAAGACTATTTCAATAATGTTCCTAGGGATGTTTCTAAAAACATATATATAGAGAGAGGAATACAGAAATGTAGAGAGAAACCCATGTTTATTTTTAAATTCTGAAAGGCTAGAAAAAGACCAGTATAGAAAACAAAAGTTCTACAAACAAAGGTAAGTCAAAATATGGTATATGGTAGGTGTATATCCTATAGAGCCTTGACATGTGAGCTGTCTGACTTATGCAAACCTATGATTATTTCTGCTTTATTCACAATAGCAAAAGGAAAAACAACCATTACCTGCTTGTCGATGAAGGAATAGAGAAGCGCATGTGCAGTACACATACAATGGTATAACAGATAGCCATAAACAAGGAGTTTAAGAAACAGAAGGAGGAAGCTCTAGTGGCCTAGTGGCAAGAAGCTGTGCTGTAATCCCAAAGGCATGTGGTTCAAATCTACCAGATGCTCTGCTGGAGAAAGAAGGGCAATCTCCTGTGCCAGTTGGATCTAATTTGACAGCACATGAGTAAATAAGAAAAAAAAATAAAAAAAACCAAACAAAAAACAAACCAACCCACAACAAAATAGATGGACCTAGAGGACACAGTGGCATGAATCCCATTTTTATTAGACTCAAATTCCTGTATACTCAAGTCCCTTATATATACAATGATAACAGTATGTAGCTACCTTATCCACACTCATCCTTGGGCATTTCACACTGCTCAGCTCTGAAAGGTGTCCTGCCAAGACTAGCAAAGGAACATTCTTAGCAAGGCAGACTAATCTAGGCTTCTGTGAGGCCAACAGAAACTCTGTCCTAAACTTATAGAACAAACCTCAATATTCCTTCAAATGGAAGAAGTATAAGAACAAAGAATAAAAGGTTGAATTTTAAAAAATGGAACACAAGGAAATGAGGGGAAAATTGTGAGAGGCTTAAACAGAGCTTTTGCACAGTGTTTTTAAACAGTTTCCAACACATAAATTGGTTTCAGTTAATGTCCAGTGTGAAGTGTTCCTGTTAACAATGCCCAAGTTAAAATTACTCTGAAGGAATCAATCAACAAACAAAACTGAGCAATTTCAGATAAAATTATTATCCTCTTCAATGTTAATACCATAAAACACACAGAATATTAGATTTTTTTACAAAGAGAAAAGACCACTTAGTACAACATGTGAATTTTCATCTTGAAGTACCAGAAGAATGTCTCTCTGTGTTTCATTGATTATGCAAAGGTGTTTGACTGTGTGGATACAACAAACTGTGGCTGACTCTGAGAAGAATGGGAATCCCAGAACACTTGATCATGCTAATGTGGAACCTATACTTGGACCAGGAGACAGTTGTCAGAACAGAGCAAGGAAATACGGCATGGTTCAAAATTGGGAAGGGTGTACACCAGGGATGTGTCCTATCTCCATACCTTTTCAATCTATATGCTGAACAAATTATCTGGGAGGCTGGGCTCTATGAGGAGAAATGTGGCATCAGAATTAGAGGAAGGTTCATCAACAAGCTGCGTTATGCAGATGACACAACCCTGTTTGCTGAAACTGAGAAGGACCTGAAGCACTTGCTGCAGAATGCAGAAGGTCAAGGACTGCAGCATTCAATATAGATTGAGGCTCAATATAAAGTAGACAAAGATTCTCACCACTGGACCAATTTCTAGTATCAGGATGGATGGTGAAGAAATTCAGGTTGTTAGCAGCTTTAGTTTGCATGGCTCCACAGTCAACACTCTTGGCACCAGCAGCCAGGAAATTCAAAGACATTTTATAATGGGAAAGTCTTCTTTAGGGACCTCTCCAAAGTACTAAAAACAATGGTGTCACTCTTGAGATTAAGGTGTGTCCGATATAGGCCATGCAATCACTTGCTATGCATCAGAGAACTGGACAATGACTAGAGAGGATAGAAGGACAATTGATGCCTATGAGCTGTGGTGTTGGAGTATTGAATATACTATGGACTGCTAAGAAAATGAACAGGTTCATCCCAGAGAGGGTTAAACCAGGCTGTTCCTTAGAGGCAAGTCCTGAAGTTTCATCTGACATGCACTGGACATATTGCAAGGAGGGACTAGTCCTTGGAAAAGGACATCATGCTTGGGAGGGTGGAGGGACAATACAGGAGAGAAGAACCCTCTATGAGGTAAATTGATTCAGTGACTGGGGTAATGTGGGTAGGTGTATCAGAGTCAGTGAGATGGGAAGGGTAGAGTAGGGTTCAGGGCTGTTGTACACAGAGTCTCTATGAATCACAGGTGACTCTACGGCACATAACAACAACAACAACAACAACATTGTATTTGCACTGACTGTTGTTTAAGAAAAAAAAAAATGGCTCCGTATACTACTGAGAAAGCAGTGACAGTGAATAAGAAGTGTAGATTTGACCATAGTATTTTCTAAAAGTATTAGATTTTTATTATACAGAAGTAACTTAGAGGATGGGACCTGCACTCAGAAATGTCAAAAAAAGAGGAAGAAAACCATCAGTCAGTCCAGTGGAAACTGAACCTTCACAACCCCAAGACCAGAAGAACTAGATTATATCTGGCTACCACTGCTGACCAGTAAAGGGAAATGGGTAACTGAAAGACATAAAAAAGGTCACAATTTCAGGCCAATAGAAATTATGGCCTATTTAATTGGCAATAAATCTCACCTTGCTTGGTTCACCTTTCAGCAAAAATATAGACAAGGCAATAACATGAACCAGTACATTAAAGTGTCACTCACTCATCAAAATAACCAACCACATAAGATCAAAAGAGAAAAATGTGGTCAGAGAAAGCTCAGAAGACACAAGAACTGGAATTTATGGAAATGAGAAGCTGATACATTGTGGATATTACAATTATACATTGTATCAGAATAATTGAATGAAAATCCATCTTGTTTTATAAAATTTTACTCAAAACACAATTTTAAAGAAGGAATCAGTGCTTAATACCACTAATTCATGAGAAGGGGTGGAGCTCACTGTTACCAAAATTAAATTATAAAGCCATTGTAGTTTTAAAAAAGTAGTATAAGGATATATAATTGAAATTCAGCTGCATATATAATTTTTTTAAATTTTATTTATTTATTTTATGTGTGTACCGTCAAATTGGATCTGACTGGTACAGGAGGTGATTGTTCCTCCTGCTTCAGCAGAGCATCTGGTAGATTTGAACCTCGCACCTCTGGGATTGCAGTGCAGTTTCCTGCCACTAGGCCACCAGAGCTCGCCTGCATATATAATTTAAATGAAATGTGACATCAAGAGTTCATACAAAGGGGAAGAGTATTTTTTAGTATTCTGTATTAGGGTGAATGGAAATAAGTTTAATTAAAAAAATTATACTAAAACAAATACTAGATGAACACGTGACCATGGGGGAGAAATCTAGATTCAAATCATCTGTAAAGCACATGATAGGAGATTGCCCATCTTTCTCATGCAGTTTCCTTCCCTGCTGGATTAAAAAGGCAGAGAGGTAATAAGGACCTGAAGACAGAGGTGCAATTCTCTATGGACTACATTACAAGAGGTCTCTAGATTTATACTAGGGAACATTATATACATATTTGATGATATATTAAAAAATAAGACATAACATAACAAAAATATGACATAGCATAACAAAATCAGAAGGTTCTATCGCTCAGCCATGGCCAAAATCAAAGCTCGGCACCTTCGCGGCAAGAAGAAGGAGGAGCTGTTAAAACAGCTGGACAATCTGAAAGTGGAGCTTTCCCAGCCAAAATGACAGGCGGTGCTAAGCTCTCCAAAATCCGAGTTGTCTTAAAATCCGTTGCCCGTGTTTTCATTGTTATTAACCAGACACAGAAGGAGAACCTCAGAAAATACTATAAGGGTAATAAGTACAAAACCCTGGATCTGCGGCCCAAGAAAACACGTGCCATGAGCCGAAGGCTCAACAAGCATGAGGAGAACCTGAAGACCAAGAAGCAGCAGTGAAAAGAGTGTCTGTACCCACTGCAGAAATATGCAGTCAAGGCCTGAACTTCTTAAATAAATAAAACACAAAACTAAAAAAAGAAACAAACAAACAAACAAAAAAACCCCCACAAAATCAGAAAGAGAAACTAAATGCCATTGTAAATGATTATGACAGAAAAAGAATATCTCAAAAGAATATCACCTTTGAAAGCTGGAACTTATTAGAAGGTGGAAAATATTCTTATATAGGAAGGAGTATAAAAATTGCACAGTGCACACAAATGTGTCATTATAAATTGGAACTGATTCCATAATAGTGTATTTCTTCTGTTTAATTTTCTTTTTCATGTTGGTCAGAGATAATTCATAGATTAACGTTAGAAGAATGGCTAAGAAAAGCAGTGAGAATTCTGGGAACAACAAAAACTTTATTAATTACTTTACTAATATTACTGTAGGAATGAAATTCAGAATATCAAAGTATAGCTATTGCCTATGCTTAAAAAGGATAGAGAAAGATAGACTGACACAATGATGTAGCAATGAGTTTCAGCGTAACAGATTGTAACATTAAAGCACCAACCACAAAGCCTTTTTATGATTGTGACTCAAGAGAATAACATTTATACAATCTGTATATAAAAATGTAATAGATTTTAGTAAAACGAGTATATTTTCTACTAATAGGAATAGAAGGTATTCAATGTGTTGTCAGAATGGAATTCTGAAGGGGTTTTAACTTACTGTGCAGTCATTTCTCTCTTTATCCCAAAATTCTGCCCTCATGAAATATTAATTTGAGATTAATTAGCAATTTAATATAATAAGATATAGAAATCTGTATGCCCCAAAGGACACAACAGGATAGCTCACGCATTATTGAAGGTACATCTTCGGTCTGTGGGATGACCGCTGTATAGCTTAAGACTCTCAGTGAGCACCGAGTATAAACTGTCAGCAATGTGTGGAGGGATGCCTTCCCACAACATGATAAGCACCACAATCACAGACTTAGCACAACGGTGACCTGGAGCATCCCGGACCAGGCAAAGAACTTTTTCTTCTTCACTGCTTCTTCTTATAACCTAAAAATAAAAAAGGTAACACAATTTATTAAGTTTTAGGAACAACAAAGCTGAAGTTGAGTGCAATGGATGTTATCTGTGACTAGGTTTTTGAAAATTGCTACTTTAAGCCCTTAAGAACTCTTGTTCGTTGCTGCCACACAACATGCCTAGAGAATATCCCAAGACAAAGAGAAAGCTGTGGTGTCATGGTTAATGTGGTATGTCAACATGGCCCTGATCCCCAAAGAGAGTGCATTCCATGAGCTGTGGCTTATGAACAGATTTAGAAATCGATGATTGGCTTTGTTTGATTAAAAGGAGCTCTCCAAAGGGGCATGGCTTGCACTGTATATGTTTAGACTTTGGCAAAAAGCTAGGACAGTTTTTCCCCCCAGGATGGCACAGGATAGAGCAAGGCTCCAGTCTGTGATTCTGGACCCAACAACAATCCATCCGGCTCTGATGACAGAGTTCTGATGGTATAGTGCTCCAGCGGCCCCTACCCTTTGGTGATCTGAGTCCCTCAGTGGCGATTTGCTCCTATGCCATTTATAGACTTGGAAAACCAATGGTGCTACCCTACAAGCTAGTAGGGAAAGGTGGAGGGTCAGAGATGCAAAGGAAGAACTTCAGAAACACAGTATAACATAGAGACAGTAACAGTTAGCTCTAGTCCATTGATGATCATGAGGACAGCACAGGATAGGGCAAGGTACCGACCAGCTGTTCATACGGTTGATATGAGTTGTAGTCAACAGTACATGAAAACTACAAGTAGCTCCGTGGCATAGTCTGTAGAGGGTTGTACAGTCTGTACAGGGTTGCACTGGTAACCCAAAGATGGTGACTTTTTGCTGGAGAATAAACCACACTCTCCTCTCACATAAATTATACCCTCAGAAATCCAATGGAGGGTCAGCTATGGGTCTGTTATGACTTGATGGCAATACATTTTAGAAAATTTAAACCTTGCTTGCAGTATCCAGATATAAACCAATGACTTGCTGTAAAGATAAACTCCTCAGCCAACAATTTGACAATAAATATACATGTCATTGATTTTCCTTCTCTAGAATATCTAATTGTATAGGATTAATACCTGTCAGAGTGGTTTGTATTTTATCCAAGTAATGCTAACCATAAGACACAGTCCAGCTTTGCTTTTCTACAAATGTCAGAACAGAACAAACATCCCATTTAAAATCTTGTCTGGAAAGTTTACTCCCTTTGTATCCTACAAATACACAGAATGATCAAAACAAAGCTAACAGTAGCATAATTGGTACTCAGTTGTATTAGTCATTATCATTATCTTCTGTCATTCTTGCCACAGCATTCAAAAAGCCCTTAAATTTAGGAACTCGGCTTACCCCTCAACACAATTCTTTTCTGTTATAGAAAATTATTCATAATAATATATCCTTTTACTCTATTTAGAGGAAGGTCAAATGTGATACATATTAAAAATTATACCTACAAAAACAAAACAAAAAAATATTATACCTGATAGTTCTCCTATAATGAAATTTCTATTAATCTTCTTTTTCTATATACTCCTGCTTATTGATTATATTCATGCTTTCTACTTTTTCAGAAATAAAGCAAATAGTCTGAAGCAGTCTCTAAGATCTAGGTTCACCAAGATCCTTGAGAAAGAAATTAAAGGAAGCCTAAATAAATGAACAAATATACTATGCTTATGGAACAGGAAATGATTCTACTTTCCTTCTACAGTGATTATTTGATTTGTTTTCTCACAAGTTATTTTGCAATTAAATTAATTAAACTATTTTGCTATAATAATCTAAACTTCACTCAGCTAACAAAAAAGTTTGCCATTGACAGACTCATAGCTGATGTTCCATGAGGCTATAAATGACACAGGAAGACACTGCATATCTATCTTTCTTGGGCACAGTGACTAAATAACTCTCTGCTTGAACATTAATGGTTTATAAAAGAAATTAAAGAGTTCATAGAAACAAATTAAAATAGAACATACCAAAATCTAGCTGATACAGCTAAAGCAGTACTCATGGGGCAGTTCATAGCAATAGGAACATACATAAAAAGGGAAGAAGAAAAATCAATGATCTAAAGCAACACCTTCATCAAATAGAAAAAGAACAAGAATCTAATCCTACAGCTTCTAGGTGAAAGGAAATTATAAGGACAAGACTGAAATCAATGAGATACAAAACCGAAAAACAATTGTGACTATCAATAAGATCAGGAACTGGTTTTTCAAAAGGGTCAATAAAATTGACAAACTATTGGCAAACGTAACAAAAGAAAAAAAAAGAGAAGACACAGATAAATGGATTAAGAAATGATAGAAGTGACATCACAACAAAAGCAGAGGAAATGAAATCTATAAAGTTAGAATATTATGAAAAGCTATACTCTGAAAACTAAAAAGAAACAGACAAAATCCTTGAAATGCATGCCCTACACAGGTAGACATGGACAGATGTGGAACACTTGAACAGACCCCTCATAAAAGAAGAAAATGAGAAGGTTTTAAAAAAAAAAGGTCCTGGACAAGATGGTTTCATGGATACCACACATTCAATGAAGATCTATTACCAATTATTAAAAAAAGTAGAAAAGAAGAAACACTCCCAGAGTCATTCTATGAAGCAAGTACAAACCTCATACCTAAACCAGGCAAAATAGTACCAAGAAGGAAAACTATAGGCCACATCTCTCATGAATATAGATGCAAAATCCTAGCAAATAAGAGTCCCAAAGTAGGTAAGGAAAAAAAAATCATCAAGGCGTAGTGGGATCCATACCTTCCCTCTGTAACTTGATTTGTGCCACTATTAGAGCCTCTACTTGGAATATTATTGCTTTTTAGTTTTTGACTCATGTACTTTTAACTTGTTAGTTAAATTTGTGTCTTCTAGGCTGCAACACTTCCATGATACATCTTCAAGGATATGAACATGTACGGCTAAGCACAATTGATAACAGTGCATCTAAATTCCAAAATCAATCTCCATAATAGTCTATGTGTTTCCTACTGCCAAAGGGGCCCTTTAGAGTAATGAGAGAAGATCTTCACCCTGAAACCTACAGTGTCCCTTTTCAGCAGGAAGTAGCTAAGAGAATACGCTGTCCCCTTTTCCTTATGAATCAGGGTGAAGTCTCTCTCAGGGAGGAGTGATAGGGAATGGCAAAGGACACACTGACAAAGGAGATTAATCAGAACAGGCTTTGACAAGCACTATGGCAATTGGACAATTAAAACAGACTTTCAAGGGGGGAGAAAGAAGAACGAACTAGGGAGGAGGGTAAAGAAAATAGTGCAACAATGAATGCATGAAACCCCAAAATCTCTGTAAATGTTCATTAAAATTGATAAAATTTAATAATAATTAAAAAAGAAAGAAAAGATACAATGCAAAAAAAAAAAGAAAAGAAAATCAAGTAACGTAATTCACCACATTAACAGAGAAAATGACAAGAATCATATGATCTTCGCAATTGATGCAGCAAAGGCATTTGACAAAATCTAATTGGAATAAAAGGGAATTTCCTCAACGTAATGAAAGGAATATATGCAAACCCAAGAGCCAATATCATTCTCAATGGAGAAAGACCATAAAGTTCATAAGAGGTAAAGTGAGATCAAGCTTAGAGAGTCGATTCTGTGATATAAAAAGACTGTCAAATACAGTCAGAAGTGCACAATCTGGGGAGCTCTGGTGGCCTAGTGGCAAGAAGCTGCACTACAATCCCAGAGGAGCACAGTTCGAATCCACCAGATGCTCTGCCAGGAAAGGAGGGACAATCTCCTCCTGTACCAGTCAGATCTGATTTGACGGTACACGCACACACAGAAATAATAATAATAAAAAAAAAGTGCACAATCTAGAGAGGGTAAAAATGATGAATGAAACCTCCTAAAGATTAAATCCCTGTGAACATAAAAAATATTTTCCAATAGAATAAAAAGAAAAGCTACTGACTGGGAACAAACACCTGGCAATGCCATTTTAGACAAGGATCGAATATCTAAAGTTTACAGACTGCTACAGGGCCGCTACAAGAAAAAAGACAGATAACACAATTACAAAATGGACAAAAGACATGGTAAGACTTTTCACACAGGACTATTCCCATGGCCAATAGATATATAAAGAAATGCTCAAAATCACTGGCAAGAAAAGAGATGAAAATAAAAACCACAATGAGATTCCATCTCACCCCAGTAGCAGTGGCAAAGTTTAACAGGATAGCAAGTAATGAATGTTGGAGAGGATGTGGTGAGATAGGAATTCTTTTACATTTTTGGTGGGATTGTAAATGGCACAAGCACTCTGGAAAGCAGTTTCACATTTCTGCTAAAGGCTGAACATAGAAATTTCATATGACCCAGCTATTCGACTGCTTGGAATATACCCCGAGAAAATTATAACTGAGGCACTAACATTGATTTGTATACCAAAGTTCATAGCAGCATTGTTCACCATTGCAAGAACATGGAAACCATCTAAATGTCTAACCACAATGGAATGGATTGAGAAAATATGGTACATTCACACAATAGAATACTATGCAGCATGCAGGAGAACTGACAGTACCTAACTTGGGAGGGACTGGAGAACATTATGCTAAATGAACTAACTCCGTCCTATAAAGACAAATTACTGTATAAAACCATTATTGCAGAGATAGAAAGATAACTAGTAAAATGTGTATGAGGACCTCAGTGGGGGAGGGTACGAACAGAAGGGTGAGGATGGGCAGTGGGTCATCATAGGGTCACATAATTTGATGGGTAGAATGAAGTGTGGGTAAAGGAAATAGGAAAGATTCAGTATGAAAAAGAATGTATATGAACTTTGTTAGTAAACCAGTATAAAATAAAAATTTTATTTAAAAGAAAAAAGATGCTCAATGTCAGAGTCATCAAGGAGATCCAAATCAAAGCCACAAATAAGATATCATTTTAAGCTTACTATATGTCATAGCATTGGCACTATCAAGGGTTCTGGGATTCCCATTCTTCT